CCAACAAGACCATAAATAGGATGGTAAATAGACAGCGTTTTCACATCTTGATGTCCAGGACTGATTGCTTTTCTGTTTTTGCGTGGAATGGTACACGTAGCCACATTTGTGTCACCGAAAATATTGCTTTATGATAAAATTGCAACTCATAGTTGAATACAAGAGTGAGGTGACGTAACTGTGTAGGGGTAGCGTAATTGCTGCTTCTCACTTTAAAATTTTAGGTGAAGACTGGAAACGGCTTGCGAATCGAAGGTGTTCTCGGTTGCTGCGCAAGTGGAAATGTACGTAACGCTTGCGTTTCCGACACCGAAATGGGCATTGGAGGAACATGTCAGTGGAAGTTCTGCTCTCTAACATCCAGGAGTACACTATGTGTACAGTTCGAAATTTCTGCACAGGTATGTAGAAGTACGATTTCGAAACATCTCTCCAGTTGTCTGGATCGTTTGGCTTACCTGTGTCTGTAATGTGTTGTAGTGCGGTTTGGAAAATGCTGTTTTTTCCAGTTTTTCGTCGGCCGAGAAATCCTAGTAATCTTGATTCGCAGGCAATGATCCGAAGCTGCTGTTCGCTGTAATGTTTTTTACCTGTCACGCGATTAATTTATAAAAACATAAAGAAGGCCGAAATTTTTCGAATAGTTATGATGTAGAGCATAGTGGAGGCGTCATAACATGGCGGGCGAGATGAGGGAGATTAAGTAGAGAATAAAAAAGTGTTTACATAAGCATGTTCTGCAAGTAGTAATCTTTTCCTCGTTAAAGTACAGAAAAGTGCATTGGCCCTGTTAAACAAGGTGTATATTCAAACATACACATGTATGCTTCATTCGTGTCACAGTTATCTGGGTGGTAAATCATAAGGTTTACAAGCTGAGATAGAAATTTTTTTTTCAAAAATTCTTTTCCACTTTAGCACCATTGCTTTGCTTCTGGTTGATCTATTGCATGTTTTTAGCATGGATCAGCGATTCCCCAAGGTGCTCGAGGGATGGTCCAGTTTGTGACACAATATCAACATGCTGATGGAAGAAAAAGAATCCGGGTGACAACCACCTGCAGGTCTTGGGCGGACATGGCAACCCAACAGCCGAATATTGCTTATGGTTTTGACCAGGTGAGCACAGTTTTGTCGAGCGGGAAGACAACATACAAATTCAACGACGGTTACCGTACCTCTTCGCCTACGGAACATTTTGCTATCGAGTTCACTTTTAGGAGAAATCTTTGGGCTTTGATGACTATTCTGTCTCACTAAAAGATAAAAGCTCTTACGTTCGCCCGAAACGTTCTTTGGTCTCGGAAATGAGCATTAATCCTCCGGTTGTGCTAATCACATTTGAGTCATATCTGCGGTCTAGCAGTATCAAATCTTAATGATCTATGTGATGGATGAGATTTGTAGTTTGTTCAGTAGTGACTGCGGGACGCTGATT